GCTGGGTTTAAACCTGCCACTTCTGGCATATGGGGCTAGTGCCCTACTCCTTTGAGCCATAGGCACTGCCCAGCATTATATTTTATTAATGAAAGAAAAAAAGGCTATAGATCCTACAAAGATAATTATACTATTGAAAAATTCTGAATAGTCATTAAAAAAAATCAATTGAAAAGCAATCACCTACTTGTGCAAAGTTTCTTGTGAATGGTGACTTTCAAGAATTTGAAGAAATTGGCTGTGCGCAGTGGCTCACACCTGTAATCCTAGCACTCTGGGAGGCCAAGGTGGGTGGATTGCCTGAGCTCACAGGTTCGAGACCAGCCTGAGCCAGAGTGAGACCTCGTCTCCATAAATAGCCAGGTTTCGTGGCGAGCACCTGTAGTCCCAGCTACTTGGGAGACTGAGGCAAGTGAATCACTTAAACCCAGGAGTTTGAGATTGTTGTGAGGTATGATGTGACAGCACTCAATTGGGGGGTTGGGGGGCGACAACAGAGTGAGAGTCTGTCTCAAAAATACCCCAAAATTGAAAAATTGTTATTTCAAAGTTTCATATAAACTTGGTATTAATTTTCTAAACTAATTTACTTTTGATTTTATATTTCTAATTGTAATTATGTAATATAAAAAATATATGATGGATAGTTCAAATGCCCCATTGCCTGCTGAATCCTGGTTAGGGCTGGGCTGGGGAGCCCAGGCCAGTTCTACCACAGTAGAGTATAATGAACCGAGCACGCTGTGACTTCTGGCTTTTCCTAAGACATCAACGAACAGAGAAAGCAGGGAAATTCAGTTCATGCAGCGCACGGTGATGTGGTAGGCATTGGTTAAAAGTGATGAGATGGGAGAGAATGAAGTTGGTGCTACCGCTGCTCAGCATATTGAAATCCTCCCCTTGCTGAGAACTTTGGAACTACAGCCCTCTTAGCCACATTTGAATGTTTGAAAATTTGGAAAAAATCCAATCATTAGCAGACTTTTGTACCATCTGGGCATAAACCAAAAATAGCCTTTCAAATTCTCTTTTGCATAAACTCAAAAGGTGATTGCATGGGATGTGGGGACATGAGGTAGGCCAGGCAAAAAGTGGGAGAAATGGTTCAACAGAAGCCTGAGCAAGAGCGAGATACCCCATCTCTACTAAAAATAGAAAAGATTAGCCAGGCGTCTGTTGTGACGAGTGCTTGTAGTCCCAGCTACTGGGAAGGCTGAGGCAGGAGGGTCACTTGAACCCAGGAGTTAGAGGTTGCAGTGAGCTAGACAGATGCCAGAGCACTCTAGCCTGGGCAACAGAGTGAGACTCACAAAAAAAAGTGGGAGATAGGAAACAGGAAGAAACAAGTTGGGTCACTTCAGCCCTTGGGACAAGGGATCAGGAGGTTAAAAGGACAAAGAAATAAACAAGTGCCAGAAATACTCGTGACCTACAGGTTGAAACTAGCTCTGCCTCGTGACAGAGGTTGTTCCTTTCTTTCTTTTTCTTTTTCTTTTTTTTTTTTTTCTTGCTTTTCTTGAAGAGTTTGGAAAGGAGAATTAAGGAGCAGAGCAAATCTTTTTTTTTTTTTTCTTTGAGACAGAGCCTCAAGCTGTCGCCCTGGGTAGAAAGCTGTGGCATCACAGCTCACAGCAACCTCCAACTCCTAGGCTCAAGCGATTCTACTGCCTGGGCCTCCCAAATAGCTGGGACTACAGGTGCCTGTCGCAACACCCAGATTTTTTTTGGTTGCAGCCATCATTGTTTCTGGTGGGCCCAGGCTGGATTTGAACCCGCCAGCTCAGGTGTATATTGCTGGAGCCTTAGCCGCTTGAGCCACAGGCACCAAGCCAGCAACTCTTTTTAAAATAAAAACCAAAGCCCTCTGCCTCAAGAGCCAGGCCATGTGGCCAGAGGCAGGGCCTAGACGGGAGGTTTAGTCTTTGGGCAATCTTGGGCCGGTCACCTGACTTTCCTGGAGCCCCATTTCCTCAAGGGCAGGGATAAATATAGCAAAGTCCTCTCCTTCGACACCCTGGGTAAGAAGGGGAGGAGGCAAATCTAAAGAACTTCATACTTGCTAGAGGCTGTGCCCAGTTTGGGGCATCCTTCCTCATGTAGTGCGAACCCACCAACGTTTGTCATATTAGAAGTATTTTCTCTGTTTCATCAATTTCCACACAGACCCACTCAAAGATAACATCAAAAGAGAGACTTTTACCTTAGTGATGCTTGTAGTGGGGGAAGTTCAGAGGGAAGAAGGATGGCCTCATCCTTCACCTTCCACAGCCACTGGGCTCAGGAATGGACTATCCTTCTTGTCCAATCCCATCCTGAGGTTCAGTTAATGATTATGTGAGCCTCAGTGCCCTTCCCTCCCCCAACATGGGTATGGCAGCAGTGGTGGCTTTTATTAACAGGATGTGGGAACACCAGGTGGGCCACCCTGGGAAGATTCCCTCTCTGCTTCTCAGTCCAGCAGACCAAGCAGACATTCCCCATTGGGCGATGTGCCAAACCACAGTCTCTTATCTTACACATCGGGCTGATTCTGGCCAGACCAGCCCTGATTTATGCACGTCAAGACCTTTATAACTTCTCCCAGTCAGTGGCAAAAGCAAGTTGGAACTTATGCTGAGTCAGTGGGAAAGTAACTGATCCAGTAATAAACCAGCTAAAACAGCAACTTAACTTCTCTAAAGACATTTGGTTACTCTGGGTGACAAGTGGGAAAATGGGAAGTTTTGTTTTCTTTAATGAACACGGCAGTAATACACAATGTTCCTATAGTTAGATTTCTTTAAAGCTCTAAGGAAAAATAGCAGGCAAACTACTATTTGATTCACCTTATAAAGGTATGTCTCATTACTTTATTTGTTGGTATTTGAGTTTAATGATTATTTCTAGAAATGAACCTACAGACCACTTTAGAATATTTTCCTGTACAATATTTTTATTAAAATGGGGGTCCATGTATAGTTTTTTAAAGGAGAAACTTGAGAATTACATATATTAACCCTTCCTATCCCTTAAGTGCATGATAATTTTTAATTAAGGGATGTATTGAGACTGCGTAGTTATAAATTCTAATGAAGAAAGTGTCTTTTTGTTTTGTTTTTTTTGTTGTTGTTGTTTGTTTTGAGATAGAGTCACATTATGTCACCCTTGGTAGAGTGCTGTGGCGTCACAGCTCACAGCAACCTCCAACTCCTGGGCTCAAGCAATTCTCCTGCCTCTGCCTCCCAAGTAGCTGGGACTACAGGCACCTGCCACAATGCCTGGCTATTTTTTTGTTGTAGTTGTCATTGTTGTTTGGCAGGCCCAGGCTGGGTTCAAACCCACCAGCCCTGGTGTATATGGCTGGTGCCCTTGCTGCTGAGCTACAGATGCCGAGATTTTGGGTTGTTTTTTTTTTTGAGACAGAGTCTCACTTTGTTGCCCTTGGTAGAGCACTGTAGCATCATATTGTTATGCCCGAAATTCTTCCAAAAGACCCCAGCAGACAAATCCGAGACACACTCCAATGTAAAAGGCAAGAGGTGAGGTTTTTTATTCAAACCCGGATTTGGACTCTCCTAGTGTACACACCAAGGAAG